GTTGAACTAACCTGCAATCTGAATGCTTTCTCTTTAAGCTGACAACACTAAGAACATCTGAATTGGAAATGGCTGTACTGGAAAGAGCTGGTAAGCACATTGAAGCATATAAGACCATGTTAAACTATGCAGATGCAGATAGTGATCCAATTGAATTTAGCCATAAAAAGAAAGAAATGAAAGAAAACAGAAGATAAACAAAAGAAGAAAGGACAGTATGTTTCTTACATTTTTTAACATTTACTGGTACACAGTCCTTCTCTCCAAGTCCTGTAACGGGGTCTACAGTTGCATAAAAGGCTAAATTATCACCCAGCACCAACAAGGGACAAAGCAGATTGAGAAACTATACGTGTGAAGAAATTGCAACGAAGTCCTGGAGGATATTGTATTACCACCAAATTAAGCACTTGTTCAATCGACATACCTGCTATATTCTCCATGTGGGCCGAAAAACTGGTCTGCTTTGAATCAGATGGTGTATCATGAGGTAAGGACTCCGTGAGCTCCGATATTCCTGGGATCTGCACCGTATTTTCCTTCCTTGAACATATTTCCAGATGCGAGCGATCAGGGTCCATTGTAGATTGAACGGACGATGCAGTGGTATCACTTGGTTTCATAAGCCACTCCTCTCCTTTGACTGTTGATACGACAAGAGCTGTCTCGCCATCATCGGCAACTGAAACTGAAAAGTTTCCAGAGTAAACAGCCTCGGCTGAGCATCCGCTATTTGTCCTCTCAGCAATATCCGAGGACTGTCTTGTCTCCATTGGTGAAGCATCAGATTCAAGTGGTTTTTCACTAGAGAGACATCTGCGGACACAAAGCAAAGGAAGATACACTGTGACACGGTAGCGGAAAACATAAAGAAACGGGGAATAATATAGCTAAGTATCAGATTTCACTCAGATTTGGTAGTGTATCTTTTCTAGTAAAACATAAGACTGGCACACAGTAAAAGATTGCAATACAGTGGAAACTCTCCCATAAAAATGTGTCTACCTAATAAGTTATTAACAGAGACGATAAAATGAAAGCGACGCTGGTAAATATATCAAATCATGTGATTAAGCAATCATCTGTAGTCAATATGTGAATGGAACCTACCTTGGACATTCCCATGTATCCTCTGATGCGATTTCCAGATCAAAACCCACACAAATAGCATGATACCTGTAAGCCCAGAGAGGAAAGTAACAATTAGAAGAAAAAAGGTTTATGCGCAAAAAGAAAAGAACGTATAAGAATGTTCTAAAGATGAACAATCTCGAACAAAGGCAAGAATATGCACGTGTAAGATTAAAAGACCAGTATCTTTGTCGTTTACATGTCATATTGTAAACTTCCTTCTTACGATAGTGATTGCATTTAGAAACCGTAGAAGAACTAAGCTATAAACACAACAATCTTCATCTAAAAGCATAACAGACACAAACATTATGGCACTGTAACAACTTAAATAGCACCAGAAGTTCACCAGTCGATAAACTTCAGTGATCCATCTAAGGAGGTAAAACAACCAACAGGACTTTAAACATACGAAAAAATACCATGTGTCACAAGAATCACAAGCAATTGATGTATCGAGGTTGGAATCCCCTCCAATGTAATTGAAGCTGTTACGGATCTTACAAAGGTCTCCTTCTAAACAGACAACTTCCTACAAAATGATTAGGAAAGCTTAGCGTACTTTGTAGTAACTTACAAAGGTCCGTCTCGTTCTAAAGCATATATGATAATGCTTACATTTTCGTCAATATAGTGTGACGGAGAAGAGACGGCATCAGTCTCCTCCTCAATGGACCAATCTTCATCTCTGCATGTATTTGGTAGTTTAGCTTAACGTCAGCAGATCACAACAACATTATTTTTTATCACATACAGTAATCTAAGGTACATATGACTATTTTAAGTTAACTATTCAATAAATTGAACATCCTATGACATTAGTATCAACTAATTCACGCTCATAGTCCATAGATAAAGACAAAGACACAACTTAGATTGTTCAAGCAAGTCAAGTTCATCACAGCAACAGACGCAAGGAAGAAAAAACCAAGAATACAGTACCCTGATAACGAAGCCTCATCAACCTTGCTGCTTTCACCTGAATCATTCACCTTCACAATCAAAACCAAAAAAACTCAGTACCTAATCCAAGAGCTCCAGTTACAAAAAATGGTGAGAAATGTTCAGATAAGAGAAACAGATATGAGGTTTCTTACAGGGACACATGTAATCAACTGAAACTCTCCCTGGCAAAGAGGGCACAAGTTCATAATCGTAGACCAGTTATCAATGCATTCAAAGCAGAACCTGGTATTCATAAGACATAGACACCAATTATCAGTCTACTCCTTTAACAATAACAAACAGTGCATCAAACATTGCAACAAGTGGTCTTCAAAGAACTGAAGTAACTCTAAGGACTATACAGCTTTTGCAGATTAGGAAAAGATAGGGCAAAAAGAAAAACAAGCAATTACCAGTGCTGGCAACAGTCAAGAAGGCCTCTATCAATAATTATATCCATGCAAATTCCACATCTTTCCCCTTCAATTCCATCCACATCCTGTTAAAAGAAATTAAAATCACAATGAGAATCAATGTACTGACATAGTTTTGTCATAAACTCACATAGAGAATATATTATCATATTAATATTTAAAAATATTTATCAAGTTAAATAATATATTTTCTAAAACTATAATATTTTAAAATTTTGATATAAATATTTAGAATTTAAATTATTATATAAGTTAAAATATATTACAATTATGATCAAAATTAATAATTATTTATTCTATCTAATTATACAATTTAAATGAAAATCATATTAAATCGAATAAAGAAAAAAATTTACATTTTGATGGCTACAAAAAGAGGATTCCTACTCAAATAGTTGCACAAAGTGTACATCTTTTTATAACTGATTTTTGAACCATTAACAACATATTCAATCTTTATTTTAACAATTTTATTGATTTATTTTATCATAACTTATTCACATTATATCATATACAGAAAAAAATGTAGATTTTTTATTCTAATTTTATATAGATGATTCAAAAAATTATTTTAAAATAAAGTTAAACAAAGATGATAGGAGAAATAAAATGATTTTAAAAATAATTAATATGATTTAATTGAATTGAGTATTTTCCTTATTTACTAATTTTCGTCACGATCAATTAAGGAAAGAAAATAACTGTTTTTAATTTATCTTTAATTTATGAAGACATATTTGATTTTCTAACCATAGTATATGAATGACATTGTATGTAATTATTCTAATAAACTTAACCTTATTTCATAAGTAGCATGAGAAGCTTCCTAATGATGACACATCAGCATAGCATTTTTGTTAATAACATATGACACAAAGGTTATTTTCAAAATGTTTTCTTTTTTAATATATTAGAGATTGGAATAGAAGAAGATTTTCGATTTATCAAGAGTTCAAGAAAGCTTGCCTTAACTATTTTATTATATTTTCTTCGTTAACGTTCGTTTCCCCCCAATTAGAAAATAAGATAATAATGGCCTTGCGTATCTTTTAGTTATCATTTTGTATTTCATGCATACAAGTGCTCATTGATTATTGAAGGCTCGCTTATTCGATTATAGAATCGTTTAACCTATAGATATGTGTAACGAATCATCAACAATGAGACCCAGACGTTCGAAGTTTTAAATTCGTCCAACCGAAGTTTAAAATAGGTTGTCATTTTGGTAACTATAATATTAAAAAAACTAAACGGATAGATGTTTGATATTTTTGAATTTCAAAACTAAGGAAATTTATGAACATGGTCTTTTTTATTTATTCAATAACGTTTATCCAGAACAAGTATGAAGTATGGACTAAGATATGTTTTGGAAGCCTTTTGTGATTATCCTCATGACAAGGTCGTAACAGTAGAATTGCTTATTCACACACAATTTGAAGAAAACGAGTTTGCTTAGACTGATTAAAATATTTTCTTAATGTTTACATCAAATACTAAACGTAATTAGCCGTCAAAACTATCGAAACCCATTAACCCATAAGCTATGCCTCAATCTTGTTTTTTTTTTTTTTTTTTTGCATACTTATGACAATGAAGAACGCACTACCTCGAAAGTTCAAGGTCAAATTAGTTTCTTTATATCGAAAAATCTGGATGACAGGGTGAGAATATAGTATTTAAAATTCAAAAGCTGGCCTACGTATCTTTTCATTTTGTTTGACCATTTACCTTAATATAAATCTCATATACGACTACAATACCAAAAAAATAAAAATAATACATAGGCAATTAATAGTAAAAGCTCTACGCAACGTTGATAGCTCAACTGATGTACTATATGATCATTCAGAGTCGAATAATCAGGAAAGTCTCGGATTCGAGCATCGCCAATGGAGAAGAGACTAATCAACATATCTTGGTTCTAGTTCGAGAAGCTGAGAGTCTTGGTTTACACTCGGAATTCCAAAATAAACAATACATAGGATAAAAGCCTAGAAAATACGTACGAAAACGTAGAACTTGTGAATACTCTATACAAAATAACCTTTCTAGGAAATGATATACTAATGTCAACTCCTGTTTATCGTATATAGGTTACGACTGGTCCCTTTTCTCTTTTTGTCAAATATACACAACATGTAATGTAGCAAAGTTTCACATAATCAAATACCATAAGAGTTGAGACCAATAAAAGATGAGAACGCCAGAATCATTACGGATATATATGAACATATATTGACTCTTACGATTTTCAAACATATATGGCGTGTCCGAAACACTCACCATATTAATCCCACGACCGTATATATTATAATAATAGTTAACTTTATTATAACATTGATTAATAACAATTCAAATATGTTTTGCTTCTTCGAAACACACACAATATAAAGTCCCCTCTTGACGTACCGAAGAAATACCACCACCTCCCCCATAACACAAGACTCACCATCACCTTCTCTAAGAGATTCAAAGATTTAGCCAACGATGGGTTCTGATGAAATCAAATCGACAGTGGACACGGAGAAATCGACCGTGCCTGCAGGAAGCTCCACCACGACAAAGAGTTGTTGGATGACTCAAGTTGTGCTGAGATTAGTTCTGTTTGCAGCCACTTTGACATCAATTTTGGTTATGGTTACGAGTAAACAAAGCAAAACTATCCCTGGAGTTCCCATTCGTATTCCTGATGCTAAGTTCTCGGGCTCACCTGCTTTTATGTAAGTTCATATTAATAATTCATTAATTATTTGTTCCCTATCTATGTCAATGTATACTACTATTTTTAAAAACGTCCAAATTGTTTGATTAATATCTTAATAAATCTGAGTAATGGATGGAGAATTATATGTGTTTTTGGATATCTCATAGTCAAATTAAGTACAAATAATATTTTAGAGAAATTATGGGTTGTTGTGCTCTTTTGTAGAAGTAACGTCGTAACATGGCAAGGTCCAAAAGTAAATTTGGAATAGAGGTGTTTTTATTTTTTAAAGCATGGTGTTGAATTTGGATGGTGTAATACCATGACAACACTGGTGGTCATATATGGAAAAGATTTTGATTTTTCTCCATATAACAAATCTAAAAACCAAAAGGATTGGTCATATATGGAAACGTTAACAAATGTATATGCAAATGGCGATATTATTTATATGAAGTATTTTTTGCTATAGATAACTTTGCGTGTGGGGGAGTAGTTGGAATTATATTTCGGAAAGTCAAAAATAAGTTGGCCCAAAGTTCTTGAACGAAGAAAGCCAAAAAGTGCTCAAATATTAAATGTCCAATCATGATAGTAAAAGCACTTCACATTATAGGATTTATTTATTAATATTGTATAGTTCTTTTATTTTTGATAAATCAATTTTCTTTTTGTTAATACGCAGATACTTTGTGGTAGCATTATCGGTGGCTTGCTTTTACAGCATCCTAACAACACTTGCCACCGTATTTGCTTTCAAGAAGCCTGCCTTTTCCTCTGCGATTCTCTTGTTAAAACTTGCCATTATGGATGCGGTAATTCCTTTTCTATACAATATTTAACTGTTACAAATTAATTATTAAACCCATGCAGAAATCAAATCGCGTTATAAAACAAACAAAAATTTAACGTACGTGGACTACTTTTTCCTATAACTTCAAAAATCCCTAAACATCACTTTATGTTTTTTTAACAATAGCAATTTACATAATGTTTCGTTTCTAAACTAAGTAATAAAAACGACACGTCTTGGTAGGTGATGTTGGGGATAGTGGCCTCAGCGACCGGAGCCGGAGGTGGAGTAGCTTACATTGGTCTTAAAGGAAACAAAGACGTGAGATGGGGCAAAATCTGTCATATGTACGACAAGTTTTGCCGTCACGTCGGTGGCGCTATCGCCGTCTCATTGGTGGCTTCGGTCATCCTCCTCCTCCTCTCTATCATCTCTGTTCTCTCCCTCTACAAGAGAATCCGTTGATTCACTCTCTAGCTTCTTCTTTGTTTATGATCTCTTCAGTCAGTTCATATTTGTCTCGTTCTGTAATTTTTTTCTTTGGTATTTGTCGAAGTTAAATGTGTTTTTAGTGCTTATAGTGTTGTATTGTTTTCTTTGATTTTAATGTATAATTGTGTGATTAATTTATTGGTAAACCGATGTTTTTTTATTAGTGAATCTTTGAACATCTTTTAATTATGTTTTGTATTTCGTAGTCGACCATTTCTTTCCTTCTATTGATTTGATTGATATATGTCCAAG